AGGAGTGCTATTTTCATCTAATGCCCAAACTGTGTGGCAAGAACTCAAGGAACGTTTTGACAAGGTGAATGCTTTACGCCTCTATTACTTGCACAAAGAGATTTTTACGGCTACACGGGGAATTACGTCTATTTCTGTGTACTTTACAAAACTGAAGGATCTTTGGGCTGAATATAATTCAATACTACCACCTCCCCCTACTAAGGACTATATAGAGGAAATAGAGTTCCAACGATTGTTACAGTTCCTAATGGGACTAAATGACACTTTTGAGGAAGCTCAAGGACAAATATTGATGATGCAAAATGTGCCAAGTATCAATCTAGCATATGTGATGGTTGTTCAAGATGAAAGCAGAAGGATGATGTCTGGGAACAATTATGGGACTTCTAGCAGTATTGATCCCACAACAATGTTCAGTCAACATTCTGGCTCAAAGTCGAAGAGAAACTATAATCTAGTTTGTGACTTTTGTCACTTGAAGGGGCACACCAGAGATCAATGCTACAAGTTGATGAAATGCGAGTATTGCAACAAGATAGGGCATCTGAAGGAGTCATGTTATAAGATTGTTGGTTACCCCTCAGATTTCAAGGGTAAGAAGAGAGCAAATGATGTGCAGATGGAAGGAAATGGCATGCAATTCTCCAATTCTGGAGTTTCTACCACAACACCTACACAAGGAAGCAACTGGTAGATGAACAGCCCTGGAGTTCCCAATCAAATGTTCACACAAGAGCAATACTCACAAATTTTACAACTATTGCAGAAAACTTCCATTTGGGATACAACTGTCAGTGCAAATATGGCAGGTAACTATGTTTGTAATGATGTAAATGGCTCCAATTGGATTATAGATACATGTGCTACCAACCATATGACTGGCAATAAGGACTTGCTGCAAAATCACGCATTAGTAGGCAATGTAGGGCATGTCCAGTGGTCAACAGGGGATTCAGCTGCAGTCACACACACAGGGAACCACCAACTCTCAGGAGGTGATGTCCTTAGTAATGCCATATGCGTACCAGTATTCAGATTCAATCTTTTGTCTGTGTCAAATTCGACAAAGGATTTGAACTGTTATGCCACATTCTTCCCAACATTTTGTATGATTCAGGATCTCTTGTCTGGGAGGGTGAAGAAGATTGGTAGAGAACTAGATAGACTATACTACTTACAGTCGTTTGCAAAGAATAAAAGAGTTGCAGTCCCACATTCTTTTGCAGTAACTAGAGGCATTGCTGGAGATGGCTCAGCAACTTTATGGCTTAAGCGGATGGGGCATGTGCCTGTTTCAGTTTTAAAGAGAATTCATGTTTTCCAAGGCAGCAATAGTTTTCATTCCAACAAGCTATTAAATAAATGTGTCGTCTGTCCTCTTGCGAGACCGACTAGGCTTCCTTTTCCAATAAGTTCTAGTAGATGTTTAGATAGATTTAAGCTCATTCACATGGATGTTTGGGGTCCCTATAGAGTAGCAACATAGAATGGTATGAGATTCTTCCTTACTTTGGTTGATAATTGTACAAAATGGACTTGGGTCGTTCTAATGAAGTTTAAATCTGATGTTGTTGTGTTATTTAAAGATTTCATTATCATGGTAAAGACTCAGTTTCAGAAAACAATAAAGAAGTTTAGATCTGATAATGGTGGTGAATTCTTCAACAGTACTTGCAAGGAATTGTTCACTTCACATGGAATTTTACATCAAAGCTCATGTTCTTACACTCCCCAACAAAATGGGGTTGTGGAAATGATGCACGGACACATCTTGGAGACAGGTATGGCCATTAGGTTTCAAGGGCATCTCCCAGCCATGTTCTGGGGTTATTGTATTGATGTAGCAGTGTACATAATTAACAGGATACCATCCATTGTCCTCCAGAATAGAACTCCCTATGAGTTGTTGCACCACAAACTACCTTCACTGGCACATCTAAGGGTTATAGGGTGCTTATGTTTTTCCACCACTTGACTACTACAGACAAATTCAGTCCTAGAGCAGTGAGATCTATCCTGCTTGGATATGCACCATACCAAAAGGGATACAAGCTGCTAGACATTAAAAACAAAGTTATCTTTATCAGTAGAGATGTTGCTTTCCATGAGGATGTTTTTCCTTTTCAATTATTGTCTGATGAGATCTCTAAGCATTTGTTTCTTGATTCTCCTGTTATACCAAGACAAGAGTTCTTGGATGATACTTCAAAAGGCCCTATAGCCCATGTTCTCCCTTTAGTACATTGCCATACTGACAGGTCTCTTCCTCAAACCAATGTGGCATCTGATGATCCTGCTATTTGCTCACCTACACACGAACTTGCACCAGAGGAGATTGCAGACACTCATAGAGAGTCTGATATAGAGGAGGATACAACAGTCAATACAGAATCTCATGAAATTGATGTCAGGAAGTCAACCAGAGTTTCCAAACCTCCTGCTTAGCTTCAAGATTACATTATTCCAGGAAAGAATGAAGGTGTTAATTGCTGCAGATATCCCATTTCTGCTGTTATAGGACATGATGGCCTGTCTCCCAAGTATCAAAGTTACTTGTCCAAGATATCCATTGAGGAAGAGCCTACTAGCTATGTTGCAGCAGCTAAGGATACCGAATGGGTAGATGCCATGAAGGCTGAAATCAAAGCATTAGAGGACAATAAGACATGGGAGATTGTACCTTTACCCAAAGGGAAGAAAGCAATAGGATGCAAATGTGTTTACAAAATTAAATATAAGGCCTCAGGAGAAGTTGAGAGATACAAAGCAAGGCTTGTGGCTAAAGGATTTAATTAGAGAGAAGGTCTCGATTATCAAGAGACATTCTCTCATGATAGTTAAGATGGTTACTGTCAGAAGCGTAATTGCTCTTGTAGCTTCCAGGGAGTGGACTATCCATCAAATGGATGTCTACAATGTCTTCTTGCAAGGGGAATTAACTGAGGTAGTCTATATGCAGATACCACAAGGCTTCACCAGTTCTGGTGATAAATCATTAGTTTGCAGGCTACATAAGTCCCTCTATGGGTTTAAGCAAGCCTCACGACAATGGAATCTCAAATTAACCTCAGTTCTCATTGGTTCTGGTTTTACTCAAAGCCATCTGGATTATTCCTTGTTCACTAAGAAAGTTGCAGCCAAGATAGTGGTGGTGCTAGTGTATGTTGATGATATCCTCGTCACATGTGATGACTCTCAGTTGATTCAAGCTACCAAACTTGTCCTACAAAACAATTTCAAGATCAAAGACTTAGGTGAGCTTAGATTTTTCTTGGGCATCAAATTTGCTAGAAGGGCAGAGGGGATATTGATGCATCAAAGGAAATACTCAGTAGAGTTGATTGCAGATTTGGGCCTCTCAAAGTCCAAGCATGTTGCATCTCCTATGGAGGTGAATCAGAAGCTTACCACTATTGAATTTGACACTCACGTGGGTGTCATTGATGATCCACCCTTATCTGATCCTGGTCCATATCAAAGATTGCTTGGTCGCTTGCTTTATCTCACAGCTACCCGTCCAGATATTTCTTTTGCTGTCCAATGTCTCAGTCAGTTCATACATAGTCCTAAAAAGCCTCATATGGAGGCAGCAATTCGTGTGGTGAGGTACAATAAATCCTGTCCAGGTTTAGGGATCCTAATGATGGCTCAATGTTCAGAATCTTTGGTTTCTTTCTACGATGCTGATTGGGCTGCCTGTCCGAACTCTAGAAAATCAGTTACTGGCTGTCTTGTTAAACTAGGTGACTCTCCGATTTCTTGGAGATCCAAGAAGCAATCCACCATCTCCCACAACTTGGCTGAAGCAGAATATCATAGCTTAGCCTCGACTGTGGCAGAGGTTGTTTGGTTGCAGGGGCTGTTCAAGGAATTATGGGTCTCTTCTCCATCCCCTGTTCCCATACATTGTGATAGCAAATCTGCTATCCAAATTGCTGCCAACCCTGTTTTTCACGAACGCACTAAGCACATTGACATCAACTATTATTGAATCCGCGAAAAAGTTCAATAAGGTATTATCAACACCCTTTATCTAGCCTCAGCAGAACAACAGGCAGATGTGCTCACTAAGGGTCTTGGTCGACTTCAACATGAGTATTTGGTATCCAATCTAGGAATGAAGAACATCTTCATACCTCCTAGCTTGGAGGGGGGGGGGGTGGTAAAGGATAGCTGTTAATTAAGTTACCCATGGTTAGTTGATAACTTTAGTTAATAGGTAGTTAGAGTTAATTTGAACAGCTGGACATTAGTTGCTTTAGTCGGTAAGTGAGCTATCTAGATAAATAGAGTTGTAACTCATCATTTTCATTCTAAGCAATTATAATCAATATTGCTCCCAAATCTTTTCTCTCAATTCTGCATTTCCTCATGCATTAATGCACAACGTTTGACAAATATATCCAAATTCCGACGGTCTTGCTTAGTTGGACATTCCATTCTTTCTTTTAACTTTTTAACTTCTCAAACTGTATTCTTTTTTTTTTTGGGGTCCAAAAAGAGTATAATAGTTACCCTATGTCATATAAATAAGTTAAATTAGTTACCAAAAAACTAAGACATGTGACATTCTATATAACAACTAAAATTACTTAGATAATTTTTTTTTGCGTTATAAGTGATATTCTGATCTATTTTACGTAATATATTTTTCTTTTTAATATGTTATAAAAAATGATATATACCTCTTTATATACGTAAAAATAATTTATTTTGAAATTTGTATTTTATCATTAATGATATGATCGTAAAGTCATAAAAATTTAATAGCTTGTTTAAGATCATAAATTTTAATTTTCCCCCACCCCCAAATTCGTATCCAATCTAACACGTTCACATACTATGAAAAATGGAGGGAGTATAAGTTAAACATAGTGCTGCTATATATGGACTACGGGTGTTTAAAAAAAAAGGAAAAAAGATACAGAAAAACAATATAAGATGGTGCGAAACGCTAGTCTTTAACTGCCAAACGAACATATAGTTATCAATCCTCATCAGACAAAAATCCCTCCAACAACTCACTCATTGTCATACGCTTTCTTATGCCAAAGCATCGGCTCATTATGTTCGTACACAAATTCGAATCAACATTTCTTATACGCAAATGTGAATTGCTAATTGATCAAATACTATTGAATTTATAGCAGATTGATTAATAATAATAATAATAATAATGGGGAGTTTAGGTGCAATGCTGAGGAATCCTGAGGATATTTATCCATTGATGAAACTGAAGTTAGCGGCGCGATATGCAGAGAAACAGATCCCTCCTCAGCCACATTGGGCCTTCTGTTACATTATGCTTCACAAGGTTTCTCGTAGTTTTTCTCTCGTCATTCAACAGCTTCCCGTGGAACTTCGCGATGCTGTAAGTTTTTGTTTTTTCGTCCCTAAATTCAATCAACCGCGCCTTAATCCTAAACTAGTTGACATCGACTATATAATTATACTATGTGACCTATAGGCAGGGGGCGAAGCCACATTGTGCTGTCGAAAAATTATACTGTGTATATAGGTTATATATTCGGTTTTAGAAGTATATAACATATATTATTGAATACCCTTTGTCGGGAATTCTTTTTCACTTCTTTCAAGTTTGAACACCCTTGGAGAAACTCCTGGCTTCGCCACTGCCTATAGGTCACGGGTTCGAGTTGTGGAAGCAGCCACTAATGCTTGTATTAGGGTAGACTGTCAACATCACACCCCTTGAGGTTCGGCCCTTCTCTGGATCCTGCGTGAACGCGGGAATGACTTGTGAACTGGGCTGCCCTTTACTATGGTGTTAATGTCATTTGTGCAATTTTAGGCACATACGCCATCATTTGAGTCTCCGATAATATTCCAATAATTACATATCCGGTTTGGCCTATGGACGCATTATGCAAGCATGCATTTCATGTTTGTTTGAGTAATACCAATGGGTAGAGGATATTTATGATAATATGACTATTTAGATGTCCTCCACCTTCCCAAGGTAGGGGTAAGGTTTGCGGACACACTACCCTCCCCAGTCCTCACTTGTGTGATTCCACTGAGTTGTTGTTGTTGTTGACTATTTAGACATCAACTTAAGTAATATTTCTAATGTATTTGGAATCGGCTATGTAAAACTCACATTATTGATGTTTTCCCCCTTTAATTCCTCCGCCAAAATGTTTTTCCGTATCTATATCACATTTGTGCACCAGCTTGCTGATTACTTTTGTTTGTGCTTGGTTTTATGAATTTATCTTTTAAATGCATTTTTTAAGATGTTGCTTACTTATATCATACTACTCTCTCCATTTGAGCTTATTTGAGATTCTCCCTTATTCAAAGTCTATTTGACTGATTTTTTAAACTAAATCGGATTAAATATTATAAATTGCAATTTTTCTCATCTCAATGAAATGTTAGTCAAGCTTTACATCGTCTGAATTTTGAGTCTGGACTCTGGAGAATGCTATATGATGATGAAAGAGAAACCATAGTTTTTCTCCCACACAATGAAGACAAAACTCTTCAGTTTAAGGATTTGGTTTTTCACTTAATTAGGCTCCAGTTTCGTTTGTTGCTATGATCTTATTACTCTTACTCTGAAGGTTGATTTCTTGTAACTTCTATCAATCTTTTGCAGGTATGCATTTTCTATTTGGTTCTTCGAGCGCTTGACACAGTCGGTATGTTCAATTACTGTATGTGAGGTGATACAGGAACCTTGAATGCATATAACCAGATATCAAGTTGGTTAACTCAATAAGACAGACATTTAAGTTCAGTCACATTAAATGCAAGCTTGTTCTCGAGATTCATAATTTCATATCATTGTTAGTCTGGCTTAGTACTATGGTATTGTTTATTTGGCTAGTTTTGTGATTATGTTGATTAATTACCATTACCCACGGGCTGTTGCTTTTATTAATTCTTATCTTTTTATACCGTGATCAGGTAGTTTATACCTTTGATCTTGGTTAAAATCTAAGGTTGCTGCACTCATTTTCTTGGAGTCGTATTAGTTATTAACATTTTCTTGTTCTTATTGTGGACAGAGGACGATACCAGTGTAGCCACGGAGGTGAAAGTACCTATTTTGATGTCATTCCATCGCCATGTTTATGATCGTGAATGGCATTTTTCGTGTAAGTCTTCTGAATTTAAGTGGTCGACTTCCATCGCCATGTTTATGTTCAAGTATTGTAGAGTGGTTTCCTAATCCCAGATCTCATATGTTAGGTGGTACGAAGGACTACAAGGTTCTTATGGACCAGTTCCATCATGTTTCGACTGCTTTTCTGGAGCTAGAGAAACAGTGAGTTCATTCATAGCAAGGGCTGCTTTTCTCATACTAAGTTATTTTTCTACAAAATAAATATTACCCTGTATATTAACTGCTTAGGTTATATTAGTTACTTAGGTGATTAATGATGATACTGATTCAAAATCCTGTTATACTTGATATGTCTGTCATGTGGACTCCACATCTGTAGTTTGAATTTGAAATACTATTCATTCTATGAATTTTTGGTATGTGCTATGCATATTAGTGTTTGTGAGTAGTTTATGAATGAGCATTACGTTCTCATATCGTTGCAGTTACAAGGAGGCAATTGAGGACATTACTATGAGGATGGGTGCAGGAATGGCAAAGTTTATATGCAAGGAGGTATGCAATTAGTACTATAAATAGGAGGATCAAACTGTGTGGCAGTCGCCGAACTTTATACTTCTTTGCATATTGTGTTTATAAGGATTGGATTGATATCTCAAGTGTTTTGTTTCATGCAATTCCCCTTCATAGAGCTATTTGTTTTCTTGTCCACCGTTTACCAAAAATATGAATCTGGTGTCAACTTCACTACAATGTCAATATATGAGTTAATTACTAGTATTTCTGCAATTGGTAATTTAGTATATTTATCACCAATATATTCCAAATCGTTTTATGAGAAGATTGTTGGTCTATGATATCAAGCATTGTTGGCCTGCAACCAATCGTCTATTAAAAAAAGAACGTTGTGAGATAGTCTTTTGTGTATCAGCTTGAAAAGGGAAACAAAAGAACTAGAGAAAACTATCATATGGATTTTGGTTAATTAGGACAAAGATCTTGTTAGCTTTTTAAATAATTTCATCCTCTAGGCATAGATAAGGTAACACATGCACAAAATAATAGCCTGATTATGAGTTCCAAGCTTTTTCCTGCCAGCTTCTCTGATCAACCGATTCCATCTTTGGCAGGTGGAAACAATTGGTGATTATGATGAATATTGTCACTATGTAGCTGGGCTCGTCGGATTAGGCTTATCAAAGCTTTTCCGCGCCTCTGGGAAAGAAGATTTGGCATCAGATTCTCTCTCCAATTCCATGGGTTTATTTCTTCAGGTGTTTATCTTAACATGTGTGCCAGCCACCCGTGACCATCTTCGAGTGTTTTTGGCAGTAATGGCAATGTTTGCAATATACTGCAGAAAACAAATATCATTAGAGATTATCTGGAGGACATAAATGAAGTACCCAAGTGTCGCATGTTTTGGCCTCGTCAGATTTGGAGTAAATACGTTGACAAGCTCGAGGTATTTTTCTTCAACTCTTTAACTACACATTTAATATCTCATATTTTCCTGTCATTTTAATCAAATTCATGATACTGAATTACCTCAATACATCATAGATTGCACTGTTGTTTTTTTAAATATGGGGTTCGTTGATTTTTAACCGCCAGCATTTGTCGATGTGCCTCAGGACTTGAAGTGTGAGGAAAACTCTGTAAAGGCTGTGCAATGTCTGAATGAGATGGTCACTAATGCTTTATCACATGTAGAAGATTCTTTGACTTACATGTCCACACTGCGAGATCCTGCTATCTTTCGATTCTGTGCTATTCCACAGGTTCTACTCTTTTTACTTGTAGCTCTTGTTCTTGCCTTTTGTAAGGCTTTGTCACAAAGCTTGTGTGTCTCACAATGGATTTTTGCATCTGTGATTGGTAATCTGTTGACAAAAGTCAAAAGGAAAATGCAGGAAATTCACATAAGCTTTGCTTTTATCTGATATTTTTATTTTCATTATTCTTGATTGATCAAGGACTTTCTTTTTGTCTTACTTTTGTGAACACATCCATCCATCTTTCATTAGCCACGGGGTTAGTGTTGTTGCCTGGTGCATTAAGCTCCCGCTATGCGCGAGTTCTAGAGAAGGGCCGGATCACAATGGTGATCTATTATACGCAGCCTTACCCTGCATTTGTGCAAGAGGCTGTTTCCACAGCTCGAACAAATAAATAAAATAAGTAGCAGAGTGTATTGATTTGTTGTGCATATAGGTGTTTTGTGAATTTACTTTTCATTGTGCCCAGGGAAGGGGAGCCTTGGCGTAACTGGTAAAGTTGCTGCCATGTAACCAGGAGGTCACGGGTTCGAGCGGTGGAAACAGCCTCTTGCAGAAATGCAGGGTAAGGCTGCGTACGATAGACCCTTGTGGTACGGCCCTTCCCCGGACCCCGCGCATAGCGGGAGCTTAGTCCACCGGGCTGCCCTTTTTTTTGTGCCCAGAATTATTAGTAGTATGTTTTTGCTATTTTCGCATTATTAACTTGTCAAATATCCTTCTTAAAATGTGCATTGGCTTGGTATTTTCTATGTTACCAGGTCATGGCAATTGGGACATTGGCAAAGTGCTATAACAACGTTGAAGTTTTCAGAGGAGTTGTAAAAATGAGACGTGGTAAGAAGTATGAAAAATATGCGGTTCAACGTTCCTTGCCCCTTTCTCTCTCTCTCTCTCATTTTACTTTATTAACATGCTTTCTTTTGTGCGATTTGTATGTCTGCCAATGTTAACAGATTAACAATTGTGTACAGTATGTTATTTAGCTGATACCGAGTTTTTATTTACTTTAATTTATAAGCATCAACTAAATAATTCTTTTTTATCTTCTCCTTAACATCATACTTGCAGTTATTAATATGCTTGTGTTCTTCTTTGTAGGTCTCACTGCTAAGGTTATTGACCGGACCAGGAACATGGCAGATGTATATGGTGCTTTCTATGACTTCTCTTGTATTCTGAAAGCCAAGGCACGATACTTCCTTATTTACCAAAGTAGCTTAATGTTCCTAGTTATAATTTGCTCATTTGAGGGTTACATTGTTAATTTTCTACATAATACAGTTAGACCTCTCTATAACAGCATCGCGATATAACAATCATTCAATATAAAAAGCCAAGTTTTTTATGGAACCAATTTTCATGTTGTGTTATAATATATGTTCCTTATAACAACACTTTGCTATAACAACCAAAAAAAATCCGGAGCAAATAAGGCTGTTATAGAGAGGTTTGACTGTACTGTGTTGTGTGCTTGTCTATTTGTTCATGTTTAGTCATTTCTTTTTGGTTCTCCGTTCTCTGTCAAATTTTCTTTTCTTAGTGAAAACTTCCACGAGTAAAACAACTTCATGGTTGTCGGTTGAATGTTTTAGGTGGAGTATAAAGATCCAAATGCAGCAAAAACTTTAAGAAGGCTTGAAACAATCTTGAGAACTTGCAAAGACTCTGGAACCTTGAATAAAAGGTATGTTACATATCCGAATATTTTTATATATTTTCTGTGAATATCAGCTAATGCACCTGTGTACTGCCAGGAAATCTTTCGTAATCCAGAGCAGACCTAATTACAATTCAGCTTTGGTAAGTTTTTAGTGAATGTTCTGTTCATTCTTTATACACGATTTGCCTAGATGCATTCGCGATTTTCTTATCCGCTGAAGGATATTGCAGGTTGTTGTCCTCGTTGTCATAATAGCTATCCTTATTGCATACCTATCTGGAAACCGGCCTTAGACCATGTGTAAGTATTACTGTAACAACGTCCTGGGAAAAATGCCAATTATTTAGATGCATGCCATTCTCATATGATACAGAGTTGTTCCTGTTATGCATCTTGATTTTTACCAACTTGATTGGGATTGAAGTATTATTGTTGTCGTTGTTGTATGCACCTATGGTTTTAAAGACCACACTATCTAACCTTCTTTTAATAAGCGTCTGGATCATGTTATGAAGTATTTTGCTAGCCTACAACAACAACTCAATCCCACTGTAATCCCACAAAAGTGGGATCTAGAGAGGGTAGTGTGTACGCAGACCTTGCCTCCATCTTGTGAAGGTAGAGGTTGTTTCCGGGAGACCCTCGACTCAGAGTAAACATAGTCAACAATATACTTGAAGAGAAAGTATTTTGCTAGCCTAATACACCTTAATGGGGGTAATGAGCTTCTTTTCTTAACCAGGCGGTTGTGTCCTCCTTTCTCATTTGTTCTTTTAACCTGATATGTTAGATTGTTTCTGTTAACTCGATCAAATTATATCCACCTAAGCTCGGGTAATTAGCTCCGAGATAAACTTAAGACCACATCATTTTGTTATGCTCTGCAGTTTCTAAATTTTAATAAGTAGTAGAGGACTTCCATATAAACTACGCGTAAAGTCTTAACTTAGATTTGTTCAATGTATGTTTTTTGTGAACAAATCGCAAACTGAAAAGTCCAGTAATTTCTTTTCCTGGATTAAAACCTGACATAGCATGTTGCAGAAAGATGGTTTTTGTTATTGATTTTGCTTGTTGCTGGTACTGTAATTAAAAGTCAAACGAGGAGACATAGGGTAGCTACTAATGTTTGCATTAGGGCAGACTGTCTACATCACACTCCTTGAGGTGTGGCCCTTCCCTCGACCCTGCGTGAACGCGGGATGCCTTGTGCACTGGGTTGTCCTTTTGTGAAGACATAGGGTATTCGCGTTTGGTGAAATCGGTATTTGTTATATCTTTCATTCTTTGCGCAGGATTGATGTTAGAAGAAAGTGTGGTCAAAGAAAATGGCGCAAGCTCTTAGCCGAGCATGTGATAGCTGCAGCTTATGGTGTCTGTAACTTTGTTAGTTAGTGATAGTAATATATGGAAAACGCCTATTTATAGTTGTTTAGAATCTTGTGGCATGCCTTTGTTAGCAACCTGCAAATAGTAAATATTAATATGCTACTTTATACGTAATACATATTTCAATTATCTGTCCACTTAGTGGTAAATCCATGCATTTTAACACCTGAAATTGTATTCTTTCTCCAATAATTCAGACGTTTGTCAGAGGTGGAAGTTGTTAGTCATTCACTGTAAAGATAAATGGACAACTAGATTCCATATTTTTTTGGTCTTCCGCGCTCAGATTCTGAAAGTTATCTCAATCTGAATAGCGCAAAGCAAATATACTTCCAAGGAGATCTCCGGTTTATCGCTTATAGTTATTATCAATATTATTTATTTATAAAGTGGAGATTGTGGTAAAATAATAGATCGAATATGTGTTATCTATAAATCTCCTATTACTAGTATTATTTTTTTACAAAGTGGGAGATCCTACTAAAATCATACATCGCATATGTGTCATTTAAAAATATCCCACGTATTAATTATGATCGCCCTAAGTGATCTCTGGTTGAACGCTTATTTGTCATTATCTGATCTTTTTTGTTACAAAGTGGGAGACCCTAGTGAAATCAGAGATTGCCCAAGTGATCTAAAAGCAGAAAAAGAAAAATTCAACTCCAAAACTTTCTGTTAATTTCCATCAGACATTTACTTGTTTGAGATGAATACAATGATAAAATCCCCTAATACGACTCTGCCTGTGATCCATATTTCTTTTGAGTTAGGCAGACCAAAGAGCATGTTATGCGGTGTTAGATAGTTATTCAAAATCAACTATAAATCAGAATCTACTACACAGATGTTGTTAACCTGAACAATTAGAGGTAATACATTGCCAATAAACTTATACAAAACATGTTAAACCATAAACTGTCGGCGAATAAAAGTTTGATTTATGACTTCTTTGACATGTTTAAGATTAGGTCGAAACTTTCTTATTATGAAGATAATGGCAGCAGAAGGGAAACACAGGCAGCAGAAGGTGTATTAACAAATGACTATATCAACCTCCCAAATTTGAAATATTGCCATAGCAAAAATGTGGCAACCACCTTAAATGTGAACAAATGAACAAGCTTGAAAGAAATTGAATACAATTGTTAACCTATCTACCAAATTGTGAGTATTACAGCGGTTTAACAATGTGGTTGATCTCTATTCAAGCTTCCAAAGGAATAACTATCATATCTGAGCACCCGAGCTCATTTAAGAATTAACAACAAATATCTTCTGGAATATCTCAGGTGTATAACCGCAACACAGCCAGACCAACAGCCGAGATAGAGACAAGAGTACCTATACAGTATTTGATCACTTCATATTTTGCAGCTTCGAGTTGTGCCCTCAATGCATGAATTTCCTACTCACGGAACAAGCAAGAGAAAAAAAAGTATTCATACGAATAGAGTGAGTTCAAGAAAGGTTTACACTCATCATTATCAAAAAAAAAAAGAAAAGGTTTACACTCATTTTACATCATCTCCACATGAGAGCAAACACTTACCCGATCAAGCTTATTTGTAAGATTTGTAGTTTCTGCATTTTGATTGGCAAGCTCATCACGAATGCGTCTGCACAATTTAAAATGACCGCAACCAATCATCAGGGAGTTGAAAAATGAACAGTCTAATTATTCACTAGCTGATAAGGACTTTTCAGGACTTTTCAAGCCTTACCCTCTTTCAAGATTTAAATCCAAACGTTGTCCGGCAGTAAGCTTGTCAATCTCATACCTATATGAACAAGTAAGAATGGTTAACAATCTGCTACACAAAAGTGAAAAATCAATTTTTCTGCAGGTAATTGTACCTTAGCTCACTGCGCATTTTTTCAATGTCGTTCCGAAGCTTTTCAGTCTCACGTTGCAACAGAGAAAAATGATGTTCCTGCAATCAGAAATATTTAATCGAGATACAAATGAAATGCACATGTAAATTTCAAACCAATCCTCGTTAAGGGGTAGAACAAAAACATATATAATGCACATGTAAATTCAAACCAATCCTCGTTAAGGGGTAGAACAAAAACATATATAATGAACATATATTAATACAACTATATTGCAATATCAGTGGTCCAACATACTGAGTTTAAACCCGTTTCATCCCTTCAGCCAATGATATATTAAATTCTATCGTGTACCAGTCACAAATGTCCAAAAACAAACCAAGATAAGAGTACAAAACATTTTTGAAGTTTAAAAGACAAAGCCTTTCAAGTAAATTGTTACGGTCTGCAACCATTTACAAGTAGTTCATGAAATACAAATACTCCGAACTGAACATCATCTCTTAATCTTGCCCTCATTAGAATTAAAGCTAAAAATTGATATATGTGGGCCACAAATAACTTTTTGGGTTGTAAAAGTAGATAATAGAAAATTGTTTTGAAATGTGAACAAGTTCGGTTTAGTTTTTGACGACATATAACATGTAGTAGCACTTCCCTCGAGAAAATAAAACTATTTCGAAAAGAAAGATGTGGTATTTCATTGGGAAGGAGTGTAATGTTAATCTAGAAAAGTGCATAGATAAACACCTACACTCTGTACTGTTTTGAACTATGTCACTTTCTGAACTATGTCACTTTCTTTTCCTCCTTGAGCACCCAATGTTAAAGAAATTTTCAGAAGGGATAGATCCATGCAAAAGGGAATTCAAATTGACATCCGTTCTCATATCTTTCGGATACTGTGCTGCCCACAATTTGGCCATATAGGCAAGGCCGAACTTTCTTCAAGCCATCATAAATGGCATCAGTAACACTTATCTCACTTTCAAGAAGTTTTGTATTATTAGAAACAAAATTAGTTTTGTGTTGATGATTCCAAAATCCTGAATTGGATAAGTTGATTGCTCCTCAATGATGCTTACTGGTTAGCATAGGGAGGGAACAAAAAGGACTCCCACGATATTTTTGAAGAAGTTGTCTTAGCTAATCAGGCAACAAATCCGACTCTTTGACAAATGAAAATTCTAACGGGCTGTTTGGTTACAAGGACTAGGGGGGTTATCCCAATATAAAATTTTGGTTGTAGGTATTAACTCAAATCAGGATTAGAACTTATACCAAAAAGTTGGGTTTAGCTATCTCATATAGTAGGAGGGATTATAATCCCATGGGATAACATTTTCTATCCCAGGGTTGAACCAAACGACTCCTAAATACTCATGTCATTCTCATCTGGGGTGCTCAACTAGAAGTTTTTGGTTCCAACCCTTTTCATCCCTCAAAATATTGAAGATGCAAATTCTCTTCACTAAGGGATATACGCAGCCATCAGTGCTGAGCCAACGTTCCCTTCAAAACCAACCACTTTTAACTTTGGTACTTGCTTGATAAAGTAATAATTACAAGAAAGACCCAGCCGACCCATCTTTTTCTTTTGATTTGACATTTTAGTTCATCATTTTTTTTCCGACTTAGTCATTGCTTCTTCATATAACCGGGTTAGGATCATATCTTGTCTCAAATTTAAACACTTACCATAGTTGATCCGTAATTTAATTCTACCTAAACAACAATATAGCCAAAGATAGGCTCTTCATCTGAAATATGTATCACCGATTTGGTGTTCCCATTTCGAAGTACACATATGAATCTGATTGACTTTGTAGAGACTCTAGAATGACTGGATAACCTCTTCCTAGCAAAAGAAGAATGATGCCTGAATATGGAGTTTAGGCTCTTTTACGCCAAAAGTTGCAAATTTGTAGGATGTTATGGAATATAGTGCATTTAAACTTCTTCCAGAGAGCGTCAAAATAGACCTGAAGAATCTATATTAAGTTAAGGTCTCTTACTCCTATAAAATTTTACATATGAGAAGTATGTCCATTTTCCATCAACTTCTAGCACAAACTCTATCTAACAGGAATTTGATGAATACCATAAGAATACTTCTTACTCTAACACAAGGTTATCAACCGCTCAATTTAATTGCCTCTTGAAAATGGATATTTGCAAGCATTTCAACCTATAAATGTCAAAATTGGAAGAGATTGCCGTCCCTCTAACCAGAAGACAACAACAACAACAACATACCCAGTAAAATCCCACAAGTGGGGTTCCTCTAACCAGAAGAACATTTGGAAATGTCAAAGCAATTGGTGATACGTATTTCACCAAGCTTTAACAATTTTCAGTATCAGCTGATGTGAAATATTTTTTATTTTTTCTTTTCAATGGAGCTGATGTGAAGAATTATTATGGCTTATATCATAGATCAAGAAACACACTGGTCAGGAAATACTTATACAGCGTGTGCTTAGAAGTTACAGGTAAGTTTTTCTAATTTGGATGAATGGGTTAAAGAGCTGCCATAATTAGGTGGAAGATTGAAAGTCAAAAATCTTCATGAACCATGATTGCTGCAAGAAATTATAAGCGAACCATAAATTCAGCTAAGTTGCAACTACACTAGTTACTTAATGCATAGATCAAGGATTCAGTAATTTAGAATGGTCTGTTAAACCACCTTCCCCACCATCCCCAACCCCAAAGAACGAAACAACAAAGAATATCTACGGAGAGAAGAGTAAAGTACTAGATGAAATCAACTAGGTGAATTTACTTAGGAGCCAGAGCAGATCAAACTCAATACCTTAACATAGAATCTCTAATTACCTCCTGAAGTGAAAGGTAGAAGTGTTAAACATAATACTTGTCATATGGCAACAATAAAAACATACACCTTCTCCTCTTCTCCTTCATGCCATGTTTATTGCACCATGCATTGCTGAACTCAGTTCCGTATTATCTTTCTTTGTTTTCCCTTTTACTTTTTCCCCCTTTTTTGTTTTCCCTTATCCTTTTTCCCCCCTTTTTCTCTTTTCAAAGTTAAATTTCAAGAATTCAGCTTGAGTTCCATTCCATACTCTTTCACAGCTCACACCAATCTAATAGTTGACCTACTGAAGTTATCTACCGAACAGTTAAAGTCAACCTAACATCAAAGGAGAAAAACATCTGGTATGCATCATCACTTCTCCATTTATAAACTCGTAAATGAGTCAAAGCACCGGACGATAGCTGAGCATCATAGGTCCTAACAACAGCTTCAATATGTTGCAGGACTTCTTCTTGAGAATGAAAAGGTATGCCATTGCCGAATATGTTGCAGGACTACATACGTACAAGCATAAATATCTTACTATTATAATCCCAGACCAGTGAACAAATTAAGCTTACTCTCTAGGCAGGAAAAAATCACCTAAAGCAGATTGGACTTGTTGAAAGTTAATATTCTGCAAACAGAAGAAATACATTTCCCCCTAGCAAAACACAAAGGGAATGCCTAGATAAATAACCAACATAGCTGAAATTTCTTTAAAATACTGATATACACAACAATGAACTAATATAGCTTCAACTCCAAATACTGGTGTTTATGGAATGAAAGGAATAGAAGATGTTTTGATGGAATCTCAACTCCAAATCACACTCTCAAAGCTATTTGCCTAAATCTTTTTTGTTGGACTAAGTTAGCAGCTGTAATTAGCACTGACCAATTTTTGGACTTTGTTAGCTCCCTGGTCTTAGATTGACACTGTAAAGGGAGCTACAATTCTTATTTTTTTCTGCATTTCATTACTTTTTTAATTTGCATCTCCTTGATGCCTTTTGCTAATGAAACACCCTATTTCATCCCAAAAAAAACGAATATAGCTTCATGACAATTATGTACCTGTGAGCTTTGTACTTCGGACTTGAACTTGGAAAGGTTGCCGTCTTGAACCATCTCAGACTACAAAGCCAAAAGCACACAGAAGGCAGTTTCAACATAGTGCACATGGGCACATTTTATAACAACAAAAGAGCTTGTGTAGAGTCTTACTTTCTGCATTTCAGCTTGTGAAACAAAGGAATGAGCTACATTTTCCAAGCTATCATTCAAAACCTCAGTGATAGCAGATGTTATTGCCTCTGCCTGCTTTGATGGTACACCTTGTGCTTCTAAACTCCGGACCTGTCAGCACACCAAATCTCTCAATATCTATATTGCATATCAACAATGACAAATATAAAACAACAAAGTCTCCAACACAGCTAAGTGTACTAATTCACTACAAATCGGATAGAAAGCAATTTTGAAAACTTAAAGACGAATGTTTAGTGGCTCTTTTTTGTTAATAAGGAACCCTAAGTTTAGTGGTTTTTTGATTTGGTTTTTATTTTGATTTTGAAAGCATTGGTTTTAGTAAGGCAAGAAAACTACTTTGACTATGATTAACAGGAATGATCTCAAATAGATCAAGACCAAACTCGGGTCAACTTTGGCGTGGAATTCCTCTTTTCGAAAGAAAGGAGCTTAGATAATTGAAAAAAAGTCAATTTTCTGCACGGGCCATCCAGAGAAATCCCCGATTCCACCTACCAAAAAACCAAAAAACCAAAAAAATGCCCCAATCCCAAGTGCGTTATATCATAGGCACTTAATTTCTTTATTGGGCTTGACGAGCATCACGTAGCCCTTCGTTCGTGATACTTTTGCTATGATCAGCAAGGTTTCAGTAGGTCCTAGGCACCGATGTAAGGTTAAAAACCAAACATGGACGAAAGTTACGAGTTTTTTTTTAAAAACAAAAAGAAAAGGGGGGGGGGGGGTATTGGTTTTTGAGTTGGTTTTGCGAATGGAAACAGCTTTTTTCATTGGTTTAAGGTCCCCAAGGCTAAAACAATTTTTTCATTGGCGTATTCCAACTTTCTCATATTTGGTTGGTCAAACATTTTCTATAAGAAAACAAGTTCCTTTAAAATTAGGACCATGACTTCCCTAATGGGAGCAGGGAAAACAATCTACATAAGTGTCGCTGATTGTCTCCTCCCTGCCCTCACCCCCCAACCCATACCTCCACTCACCCCAACTCCAGCCATACCCACCCGCACCCTAGCCGCTCACCCCTATAGTGTTTGCCTAGATTATATATAATGCTCTTTGAATAATATTTTCTGCCTACTTATTAAACACCATAAATTAAGTAAGAAAATCATTCATTTTCCAGGAAAATATTTCCTTCATATCAAACACACCCTTGGTTTCACCTTATTTTCAACCAATCAGTAAAATCAGAATCCTCCCCTGCAACATGGGAAATGACATAGAATCCAAAGAGGAAGCTAAAGACAACTAATTCAAACCTAAATTAGTCAGGGACAGATGTAGTGTGTAACATAGGGGTTCATCTAAAACTAATAGCTCCAGCTCAAACCCTAGGTAAGTACAATTAACAGATTTCGCACCCAGTAAATCAAATGGACTATGATAGAATTTCGAACTGGAATCCCTAAAGTTCAAATCCTGAATCTGCCTCTAATTAGTTCGGGATCATATGGAATCATTTCATTTCAATACAACAAATAATAATAATAATAATTATTAAATGAAGAAATAAAAATTACCAGAGCTAAAGTATCGACGAGGAAAGCACGCTTGCCATTAGGTTTAGCGAGTTGCGAGATCTGCCTATAATCAAACTTGTTAGCAGACGATTTGTACGACGATACCGAACTGTAAAAATTAACGGAACCAAAACCGTTCGATTGTGACCTAACTATCAACAAACCACCAGAACAAACTTTAGATGCATCAATCCCTCCAGATTTGGACAATCTAATCCCACAATTAGCACCTAATTGAAACACACGTTTCGCAACAGCCATTAATTTCTCAAAAACCTACAATTAAAACCTTTCAACAAATAAGCTGCATCGATATGAGCGAAAAATCTTCGCTTAATTTTCGAGCTTTTGAACAAAGTACAAAGGTCAAACTTTCAGAAATGGTGCGTTTAAGAGGCGGCGAAAAGCGAGATTCGAGGGGAGAGAAAAGAGGTAGTTGATTGATTATTGATGGCGGACGAATTGATAGATGGCGTGTATTTTTTTTTTGACGGTTTTTTATATTGTGCTAGTTACTTGCAAAAGGAGTTTCAGCTGCTTTGTTGGTATTGTTATTTTATGCGCGAAATAGGATATGCTTTTAGGTTTCGGATGGGAAATGACGAAATGTCTAACTTGGTTCCCTATCCTTTTTTTTTTTTTTTTAATTACTTTTTTCTACTTTCCTTTTCCATTGCATTTGAACAATGTGGAAAATGTGAAGGATTAGTGAAGAAATTGAAAAGGATTGTGCTGGAAATTGGTGTTCCTATTTGTCTATTGATAATGTTAAATGTACAATTGCAAGGAGCCAACTTTAGTACTAGAAAATTGGGTTGGACTAACCTATACTGTCATGCTAAAAATTTAATTGCGAATCGAATTACTTGTCGATACAAGTTGTCGAATAAGTTTTTTTAACATAACTTTAAGTGTTCTCATCTTCTTAGTCAACAGCAACAACAAATCCCGTGTCATCTCCTTGGTCAACGTTTCAATTATTTTTGGAAAAATATCTTAAATCACCCCTAAACTTAGCTCAGATTATTAGTATCCTCCCCGAACTATGCCGGGTCTTAATTACCCCCTTCAACTTGGCCTTTTGAGAGTCATTACCCCCTTAGGCGCTGATGTGGCAAAAAGTATGGGTGCACTCACCCGCCACGTGGATTTTTCTGTCTATGTGGCATTTTTTTGAAAAATAAAATATTTACCTTTTTAAGAATATTACTTTTTAGATAAAATTTTTCGAATACAATTTATAATAAAACTTGGATAGAACGACATTATTTAGGCTAAATATTTTTATTTCGCCAAAAAATAATAATGTTTTAGTTAATCCTTTTTTTTTTTGAATTTGACCTGAAAATAAAGATTTATACAATTGAAATAAATAGTCAAGGCATCTAAAAAGTTATAAAACATAGTTTGGAATTAATTATTGTGGCTATTATTTTTTATATAGCTCTAAATTACGGTGCTCTAATTTTTTTTTTTTTTTTTTACAGATTTTACCTTAAAAAGTAAAAATACACAGTTGAAATAAATAGTCATTGCATCAAAAGAAGAAATAAAAAGAGTGTATAATTGCAAGAAATTACAAGTGCAATTGTACACTTTTTATTTCTTCTTTTGATGCAATGACTATTTATTTCAACTATGTATTTTTTATAACTTTTTAGATGCCTTGACTATTTATTTCAATTGTATAAATCTTTATTTTTGGGTCAAATTCAAAAAAAGATTAACTAAAACTTTATTATTTTTGGCCAAATAAAAATATTTAGCCTAAATAATGTAGTTATATCCAAGTTTTATTTTAAATTTTATTCGAAAAAAATTATCTAAAAAAGTAATATTCTTAAAAAGGTAAAAAAATATTTTATTTTTCAAAAGAATGCCACATAGACAGAAAAATCCACGTGACAGGCGAGTGCACCCATACTTTTTGCCACATCAGCGTTAGGGGGGTAATGACCCTCAAAATGCCAAGTTGAGGGGGCTAATTAAAACCGGGCATAGTTCGGGGAGGATACTAATAATCTGACTCAAGTTTAGGGGTGATTTAAAGTATTTTGCCATTATTTTTTACTGACATTACTAACTTAAATCAAAGCGAGCTTTGATTCTTACATTTGTAGCTGATAAAGTTCAGGAGCGGATGCAACTTGAAGGTAACGGATCTTAATCTAATACTTTTGACGCACGTTTTATGTTTTGTTATGGACAAGCAAAATGACAAAGTTATTTACCAAAGTTCAAGGAAGTCATTACCTAACCTTGCCCGCAAATCTTATATTTGTACATAAAAGGCTCATTATGCACGTTGTTAATAAATTGTATTTGTAAACTAATTTTGGAAAAGATAAAATAACATATAAATAGAAAATGTAAACGAAACAAAAGTTAATCCGAGCCCACCGACAGTGTTTCCTTAAGGAATTTAGTCCCTTCCTAGTACCCAAGGTTATGGATTATTTCCTCCCAGGATAGAACGAATTATACACTGGTATAGTGGTACTTCAAACCCTTGTGTTTCAACGAACACAAAGTTCGGTAGCAAATCACACTTACTGCTGCTTTCTTTGAAGTTAAAAGTATGCAGAAGAAAGGAGGAGAACTCAGAAAATCGTATGAAAAATCTGAGAGAATGGACTTGTATTTATTGCAAATGTTTGTGTCACGATCCAAATTCTATTTTAGGTCATGATGGCGCCCAACGCCGTGGTTAGGCAAGCAAACCCTAACAACTAGTGAATTCCCAATTATTTTATTTAAACATTTCCAACATTTACTTAACTTATATTCAAGCCAATCGATAATCAACAGTTCATAACAATAGAAATGCAACCCCAAAATAATAGTCTACAGTGAGTGCCAGGAACTAGTGTCACAAGTACTAGGGCAACTAGTAGAATATACAAAATACCACTATCCTACTGCCTGAAACAGAATAGACAATACATATCAACAATAAAAGAAGAGAACTCCGGTATGCTGCTGAACGGCTCAGGAGGGGCAGCTCACCGTGAGATCTCAATCAGGAGTCAGGAACGCGCACCGGAGGGGTAACTAGATGCACCTGCCTCAGATCCTGTACAATTAAGTACAGAAGCGTAGTATGAGTACATAAACAACATGTACCCAGCAAGTATCCATTCAAACCTCGAAGAAGTAGTGGCGGGGGTCGACTTGACACTTACTAAGGTCAATATCATTAATATATAAGGCTCACACTAAGCATGATTAACATGAATATAATAACAATCTCAGAATCAAGGAGAAAATGATATATCAATTTCAGTCATGTCATATAATAATTTGCACCTCAAAGCATTTAAACAAAGTAAATTATAGATTTAATTTCACATAAATATCATGCGCACATTATGCTGAGGTCGTACGGTCCGGTCCAACATAATAATAACTGTGCACTGTGAGAGGACCGAATGACGCAAACCATAGATGCATCTATTTCTACCGAGGCAATCGGCCCGTTCCACAAATAGCAATTATCATCAAGAAGGCACATAAAGGCGCATTTATAGTCAAACAAATTCATACAATTCTCAAGTACGCACGTACATTCATTTATATTTATTTTCAATTCCTAACATGTCCTAAGTGATTTCATTAGCAAGCAAGATCATAAGCATTTGCAAGTATGGCATGATACGGGTCCTCAACTATCCGGACAATTAGCATGATAGTAGCTACTCACGGACTCTCGTCACTACATACGTACGTAGCCCTCACAGCCCATACAGACAATCACATACATTTATTTAATTCACCTAGGGATTTATTTCCCTCTTACGAGGTTAGAAAGGAGACTCACCTAGCTCCAAAGCTTACTTCCAATATCAAGAACGCGCTCAAACCCTCAATTTGGAGCCGAACGATTCAAAACTAATCAAACGGGGTAAGAACTAGTCAATACAAGCTCAAAAGTTCATATTCTATCTATTAAAGTAATTTCCCAACCCTAAATACAAGTTTCCTAAAATCTATCCCCAGGCCCACGTGCCCGGATTCCGAAAATTCTCGAGGGAAGTTGTTACCCATAACCTAAAGATCAAGAATATATGATTTTTACTTCATACCATAACAAATTTCGTGGTAAAATCTTATTTTTATCAAAACCCTAGGTTTTACTCTAATCCCATGATTTCACCAATTTTTGTGTGTTAATCTACTCATAAACCAAGTATTGAACTCACATTAAGTAGAAGTAACTTACCTTACAAATGCTAGGTTGAAATCCCTCTTTGGAAGCTCCAAAATCGCCCAAACAATGAATGAAATGTGTCAAAAATAACACATTCCCGTATTAAATGAAGGCACTGCCTTTAGCGATTTCCGCACCTGCGGTTAGGGTACCGCACCTGCGGTCTCGCTTCTGCGAGGGAAGGTCCGCATCTACGGAGTTGGGCTGGGCTGGCTGGGACCGCTCCTGCGGTTCCGCTTCTGCGGAATAGGAGCCGCATCTGTGGTTCCTGGGCTCCTCCCCTTGGCCGCACCTGCGAAGGCTCGGCCGCTTCTACGGTCTCGCACCTGTAGCTGGCCAATCGCAGGTGCGGTTATGACAGATGCTTGGAGCTTCAGCTCCTTCCAAAATTTTCTAACTCAACTCGAGCCTCGTCCGATTGATGCTTGGGGCCTCCGGGCCCCGCCCGAACATACGACAAGTTTGAAATCACAAAACGGACTTGCTCACCCCCTCGGAATGCCCGAAACAACGCTAAATCTAAGAATCACCCCCTAAAACCAATTGAATCAAACTTATGAACTTCAGGTTCTTCAATTTACATCCGATGCGACGAAACACACTTATGCTACTCGGATTGATACCAAAATTTGCATGCAAGTCTTAAATGACAATACTGAACTATTCCCGGTCTCGGAATTCCGTTCGGACCTTGATAACACAAAAACCCGCTCCAAACTGAATATTTAAGAACTTCAAAATCTTTAAGGAATCAGTTTTCACTATTAGGCTCCAAAACACTCCCGGGTCATCCAAAACCCAAGCCGGACATACGCCCAAGTCCGAAATCATCATACAAACCTGTTGGAACCTTCAAATCCGAATTCCGAGGTCGTTTACTCAAAACATTGACCGAAGTCAAACTTGACCTTTTAAGCCAACCTTAGGGAACCAAGTGTTTCGATTTCAACCCAAACTCTTCCAAATCCCGAGCCAACCATCCCTGCAAGTTATAAATCGGTAAAAGCAAGTACGGGAAGTCTTATTTAGGGAAACAGGGTTCTAGAAAGTAAAACGACCAGTCGGGTCGTTACATTCTCCACCTCTTAAACAAACGTTCGTCCTCGAACGGGTTTAGATTCATACCTGAAGTGCCAAATAAGCGTGGATATCTGCTCCGCATGTCCTTCTCGGACTCCCAGGTCGCCTCCTCGACTAGTTGGCCCCTTCACTGGACCTTTACCGCAGAAATCCCCTTGGATCTCAACTAGTGATCCTGTCTATCAATAATGACAACTGGCTCCTCCTCATAACCCAAACTCTCATCCAGCTGAATAGTACTGAAGTCTAGCACATGGGACATGTCGGCGT